TAACTATGATAATAAATATAATAAATAAAATAATGATAAACGTTATAATAATGAAAATGAATATCACAATGATAGTCGTGATAGTAGTGAAATCGGTGAAAACGGTGATCACGATTTTCCTGGTGATCATTAGTGACGTTAGTTGGCGCAGTCATTTAGTTGATTATCACTAACAACGGCTAAATATCAACTTTTTATACTTTTCAAATATTATAATTATAACAATATTAATTTAAAGCATGATCTTTGTGTGACTGACGTAATAAACTAGTTATTGGTTAGATGGATAAAATATTGTGTCACCCCTCGATATTTTACCACCAATAACTATTCTTTACTAAGTGTTGGTTCTGAAAGGGTGTGACTATAAAAACATTGAGATTATAAAGGGGTTTTTTTTTATAAAGCATTAATAGGTCTTATAATAATGGATTTATATGATGTGATTGTACAGGGTGACCACAGGTCCTGTTGGTGGAACTGCTACACGTGACCATAGTTTGGCCTAATATGCAAAAGGAATGGAAACGAAACCATATAATAATGAAGTAATTAGCAAAACGTACCTTCACGGACCGATCATTTGTTCCTTTCCTTTTCTCATCTTTATACCAAGTACGTATTCGAACACATTGTTGAATCATCCAATTTTCACATTTTATATTCCATAAACTAATTTTTTGGGACTATGAGGCTATCTCGCAAAGTATTCATGCCTATGTGAACATACTAATATTAAGAAAGTGGTTCAATATAAATATGACAATATATAAATAACCTCAAATGTACCTCTACATCACAAGGGGAAGATCCAGTTTGTAATATGTGCCACATCTGGGCAGATAGTAACATCAGCTGCTACTTTTAAAGTGGATCTGTTATAGGAAAGATCATAATGATCTTTATGAAACGTAAAGTGTTATTATGATTCAAAGATCAAGCAAAAACTAGAGAAAAGCCTCTTACATGGTTGGCCTAAAACATTTATTGGGAGATTGATAAATATGCCGCTGTTGGGGACTTTAAAATAACCTTGAAGCAAAGTAATAACGGCTTCGTACGCTGGTATAGCCATATCAACAATGTAAACGTTTTTGCTTTCCCAATAAAAGTCGATTCGTTGCGATCAAAGGTATTAATTATACTCATTCAATGAAACGTTCTTCCCAATCTGTAATGGCAAACTGTAAACCATACGAGTTAACATTCAGTAGAGCCTAAGGAAACTGGTGAAACAACACTTACTTTGCATCTTCTAAACTAAATTTTGGAAGTTCTGGATAGTTATGGACTATGGCATCAAATTTATTTCGAATTTTCTTTACTTTTCTGACTGCTATTTTCCAACTAAATTTGGAGTCAACATTTTTGAAGAGGGAATTCGTGCAAAAAATGTAAAAAAAAAAAATAAGAAATATATCTGACGAAAATGATTATTTTTTTTTTTTCTGATTTCAACGGAAAATATATTCTGATGTTGGGAATTTTAGGGGTAAAATTGGATATGAAAAGCAATAAAAATCTCCGTTGTTGTCTTGTTTGGAATGCAGTTATTACACTTATAACAACTTTGTGACATTATTTATAACATATTTGAAATAAAAAATCAACAAAAATATTTAAAATATATATCATTTAATGTTCTATAAAAATCGACCCCTTAAAATCCAATTTAATTCCGGCCGAAACATCATAATTTCGCATGTAAGATTGTTTTTGATATTGATAATTATGGTTAGTCCTTTGTAGATCATTTTTGACCGCTTCTTATTATTGCATACACACACTGTAAACCTTCTTTTCTTCCTTCGCTTTCGCCGTTTTAACATCATAAAGTCAACTTTGTAACTTCGTTTATTTTTAAAAGCCCGATTTCTTATTATTTTATTTATATAGTATTTACGCAGTTTTAATTAATTAGTTTTAGTTTAATATTACAGTATTAACATTGCGAAAGCGAAGAGCGGCAACATTGATTGATTTGATAAATTTAGCGTTTCCTTCTGCTTACAATACGAAATTGTTTATAAATCATAAACGAAAGAATTGAATACAACAATATTTTTCAGCTAACTTTTTTTCGTAGATTTTATATATTGTTTATTGAAGAAACAAAAATAAATGACGTAATACACGAAGTAATTTTTATTTCTTTTATTGGATAATGAAACTTTTAAATCAAAGTTATTTTATACGAAATGAAAATGATTTGTATTTTCTAACCAAGAATAAAAATATTGTAAATTTGGTGTGTTTCTTACTTTGGAACTCATTTAAATGATGAAATTATTATAACGATGATGACTTTCTTTTTTTTTTTATTTGATACTTTTTGAAATATTCGTTCAAGACGCGAAGATAATGTTTAACAGTTTATCGTTTTAATTAATAATTCTTTTAATTCATTAATTCGTTAACTTTTTAGCGGTTTTAAATTTAAGATTAATAGTGAGATTCGTATGACATTAATAAAGAGAACATAATCTGCAGATATTGAACGAATATTTATGTCTAAAGCTTAATGCCAATCATAATTTCATTGGTCAGAAATATATAAAGTGGGAGATTAAATTTACCAGAAATGATTGGACTAAAATAAATATGTTTTTGACATTTATTACAATACGATTATACAACAATATTACTTTCATTACTAATATAATGGTTTAAATAGTAATAATACATAATAACAATAATAATGGAGCGAAGTCCCGCCCCCGAAAAACACAATATGCTAGCTTTCTTGTTAATAAATAAAATAAAAGTAAAAATAAAATAAAATTGAAAAAAAAAAAACTTAAGAATATAGAATGGAGTAATAATTTAACTTTTAACAAGAGAATCAAGGAAGGCAAGTTGATCATCCGGAATGCCGGTAGCGGAAGATATAATCTTTCGAAGGGAAGAACGGAATTCCTCAATAGAATTGTATGTAAGACTTTTGACTCCATTTTTTTCAAAGTAAGCAAATTTCGATTTGCTTTTACTTTGATGATGAACGATAACCAAGGAGTCACAACGTATCTCCTTGAGATCGTTATAAAGAATTTCCACGAGACGTACAAACTCGTTTTCTTCTAGGTATTTCTTGATTTTTGTAGAAAAGATTTTGTTTTTACTATGAATGTTTTTGAAACGTTTAAGGATCTCTTGCGCAAAACTTGATTCATTTAGTCCGATAAGAATCAAAAGCCGTATCAGTCGAAGGATAATTGTCAAGTAAACCTGCTCATTGCAAAACAACAGGTCGAGAAGCTGTTGAACTTGATCGATGGAATTATTAATTGCAGACAGATAATTCTTTCTGCTGTAAGTATTTCGACCCGGAATGAGCGATTTCGAGGTAAATGCTTCAAAATAATTAATCAGATAAGCTCGAGGAAGACATAAATCGCAATACTTTTGACCAACTGTGAAAATCAAAGACGTGGTAAATTCCAAGAGAGATGTAAGATCTCCAAGAGCTTCGATCGAAACCAGATTGAATTCAATATTTTTTATGGTATGATTAATAAACGTCATTGAGCTTATGATCGCGGGAATTACTTTATTAGAATAAAGAAACGAGAAAAACAGCGAGAGATGTCTCCCAACTGGAACTGCTTGATAATTTCCACAATAATATTCAAATCCAACGGGCAGATCGTTAGGGTGTGAAAGTATTTTTGTTTTCGACATCTCCTGACAGAATTCATCAATAACACTTTTGTCCTGCAGTTGTTGTATATAAAACATACATTTTAACATAACCTCAAAGTTGTCAGCATTCCTGGACTCCTCAAATAACCATTTCTTGTAAGCTTCATTTATAAGGCCATCACGAGTGTGATTAGGAAGGTTGGAAAGAGCCATGTAAATAACCTCTGGGCAGCTTGTATGCGGTGATTGATAGCGCGTGTGACATTTTACAAGATTTTCGGCTCACCAATTTTGTGATGCAAGGAACTCTCGACTTTTCTCTTTAAGTAGTCCTTGGCGGTATAATACATCCAATTGTCTCACCACTGTGTATTGGAGTTTTGCAAGTTTCAGGCGCTGGAACAGAAGTAATGGTGTTGGAGTTACGTGATGCATTTGGCAATTTGAAGAATGACAATTACCCGATGATGCAAAATCATAGCAGACTATTGAGGCTATATCCAGATTATCTCTACCATCTTGACTGACTTTCGAAATTAGGTCGTAGATATATGAGATAAGGAACTGCGAAATTTTCTGATGCACAACATCCAAGTCATAAACCTTCCAACTGTTCGTATTTGCTTCATTATTTTTATGTTTGATATCCATTAGGTAATAAAGAGGGTTGTAAAAAGAAATTTTCCGTCTCCGAGGATTATTTATTTTGCTTTCAAAGCAGAAAAAAATATCTTCGAATACTTTCGAGATTTTTGCAATTTTGTCTTTTTTTTGTGGTGCTAAATAAGGAAATGCCAACTTGCACAGTCTCAGCAGGCATTGTAATCGCTCATCCCAATACTTGATATTAATATCAGATGGTGAAGGGAACTGCAGCCACATGATTACTGCAAAAAACTCAGTGACAAGCTCTTCATTTTTCATGAAAAATTGTCCGCACTCATATATTTTATTAAGATCCTTATTTATATAAGAAATATATAACTGAGACTCTTCCATCAGACTCTTTGATCTCTTAGTTTGAATTTTAACTTTGGAGATCGCTTTGGCCGCTTTGGATTGGAGCCTACGTAATTCCTGTAGGTAACTTGAGCTTGTGAAACCTGTAATCGTCTCTTTCAGTACAATAGCTCTGCATAGGCACAATAGATACTGAGATGCATTAATTGTATTCTCGTCAATATCTACCGAACGGATAAGCATATCGGCAGCCTCTTCGAACTTATTTTGCGAAAGAAGATTATCTGCTTCTTGGCGAAAGTGAATATTGAGTTGTCTGATCGTTTCACCGTTGATATCTTGCCTGTGCCTTATTCCATAGTTTAAACAAAGCATTATTATTAATAATATTATTATTTTACGTATTGACAGTCAATGAAAGATTATTACGGGAATTTACAATTATTTTTCTGGTTACCTTTTAATTAATTCAGTTACCATATCATAAATATCGAGATCCTTATTAAAATAAGAAATATATGATTGAGACTCATCATCAAGACTATTATATCGTTCATGAGTTTTAACTTTTGAGATAGTCTTAGACGCTTTGGAATGGAGCCTACGTAATTCCTGCATGCTTGAGCTTGCGAAACCTATAATAAGCGCTTTCAGCACAATATCTCTGCATAAGCGTAATAAGTGCTTAGACCCATCAACTATATCGTTATCATCAACCGAACGGTTAAGCATATCGGCAGCCTCTTCGAGCTTATTGTGAGATTGAAGGTTACCTGCTTCTTGACGAAAGTGGAGATTGAGTTGATTGATCGTTTCAACGTTGATGTCTTGTCTGTGCCTTATTTAATGTATAGACGAGTGTTACGCTATTATTAATTTTTTTTATGATGGAAGATTCTTAAGAGGAATTTAAGGTTGCTTAAAGCTTACCTCCGAATCAAATCAGTTATCATATCATTAAGATTGCCATCTTTATAGGCAAGAGCCGCGTCATCGTACAGTTTCGCCTTTTCAAAATACCCACCTGCTACGTTCCACATCTTGACCTCAAGATAACAACGCGCGGCAGGCTCAAACATTTGTGATTCAGAATAGAAATCACCGGCTTTTCTATACATTCCTATGTTCTGAATGTTTTAAATTTCATCATGCAATTTTAAATGCAAATGAAACACATTAGACTAGGATTGAAAGGTTGAAGTATCTACGCAATATAGACTATATAATCCGTAAAAGTTTCGAGAAAGTAAAGTTATACCTCATAACATGAAGCCGCCTGTGGCAATCGAGAACATTCTTCAAAGGCTTCAGCAGCAGATTTAAAATTGGACCTCACTGTTTTTTCATCAAAACCACTTACGAAAGAAGTCCTGGCAATCTGTTGAAGATGATACGCACGAGCTAAATTTTCGGCTTTCTCATTTCGACTCCTTTTGAAGCAGAAAATGGCCTAAATGTGATTCTGTCAGGCTTAGTAACTCGGATCAATTTGGTGTCGTGCTGAATAAATTTAAGCATTTACCTGTTCATACTTCTGTTGCTCAAAGAACGCCTTACCCTCAAAATTCCACTCGGACGGACTGCTTTTCTTAGTCAAGGTGAAGATGTCTATTTCATTCGTTATTTTAACTAGCTTTTTGTGTTCCCAGTATGTCCGAATTGACTCACTCAACTTAGCATCCTCATCAAAAATCCAGAGATGTTCTCTGGCTCTGGTTATTGCAACATAGAGATGTTTGAGTTCCGAGGAAAGGATATAATGCTTCTCGGGAGAGAATTCCCGATTCCCCTCAGAATGATCATCCAAATCAGAGAGAATTACTCGCCACTAAATAGGATGCATATATACATAATCCGAACAGCTTTTAATAAATTACTATATCGTGCTTTAAAACACATTTTAATAATATCACACCTTTAAAAGTGCAGTCGAATCAGTAAAGAAATTATACAATAGCACATCATTAAACTCCATGCCTTTGGCCTCGAACACAGTTAAAACCAATCCTATGTTGCTGTTTATATCTTTCACACGCTGTTTAGCCGTTTCATTACGTACGATAATGACCTGGCTAGCCCCAAATTCAATATTTGCATCTTCATTTTCGACATCATTTCTATAGGCAAAAAGGTTTCCAGCTTGACAATCCTCGATGATGAGAGGCTGTGGACCACCAACCTCACTGAGTTCAGGTGAAAACTTGTCAATAGAATCAGGAAAGAATTTCCAGAGGAGGTGTATTACTGACGAAGCAAGTTCAAGAATCCCTCTGTGGGAGCGGTAGTTAGTGTTTAGTTCAAACTCTTTTGGTTTTATGGGATTGTAATGAATGTTTTCGGTCAGGTCTCGTTTGAGATTCCATTGGTAAATTAATGCGTATAAGTCTATTTTAATTAAAAAATAAGAGATAAGAGAAAGTTGACGTAACTATTTATTCTCGGACATAAAAAAAAAAGCATACCTCGGAATCGGAAAGTGGACCCTCGAGCAATACATTGCGCTACATCTCCTGCCATAAAAATGCTGTCAGCGCGGTCAAAAAGTTTCAAGATAAGCTCGTAATCTATGATCTGGTTATCCTGACATTCATCAATGTACACTTCATGAATGTGAGGTCCACCAAATGTTCTTGTTTTGGTTGCACGTAATATAGCCAGAGTTCTACGAAAAAGGAAATGTAAATCTAATTAAGCCCTAATTAAACTAAAAAAAAAAAAATACCGTCTTTACCGATCCACCGAATCAAAGTCATAATTCCGCGACTTCATCATCTCATATCGCTCAAATAAATCATAAACCTCATCACGATTGTGACAGAATGCTGGGTGTTTCCTGGTACTCATAGACCGGTATTCTTCCCTTGATAGATAGTCTACCTCAATATTCGTGCCCTTCAGATTATTATCGAAAAACTTTTTAAATGGCAAAATCGAAAATTCTATATTCGTAATGCTTATTTATAGTTTCATACCTTGATAATTGAAAACTCAGAGTAGACCAGTTCGCAATCCAGCTTTTTTCTATAATAATCACTGAAATGAGGCCAATATTTCTTTTCGAAAAGATTGTAGTCAACAAAGTGAGCCCACGAAGCGTTTGACATGCTTGCAAAGGGAGTCCTGAAACGGAATTCCCCCTCATCGTATGCGTTATCATTATCAGCATCGTGCCTTTGAACTTGTTTGGTGGTCAACATTCGAGTGTCAATACCGTAGGTTCCCTGAAGCATTTCTGAAAACTTGTTGAAAGTAACGAATAATGGGAAATGATGATCCGTCAGCAGACGGAACGAGTTCGGAATTTCACCCAGAATTTTCTTCTCATCGTCCTCCTCGTGCATGTTATCATCATCAAGTTCCTTATTACTGTCGTTATCCTTCTTCCACTTAAGAAACCGAGCCTTCGTTAGTTTCTCTCCGCCAAGTTCCGCCGATTTTTGCAACTGGCTGAAGTATTTCTTTACTCGCAAGCATAGAATGGGATTCAACGTAATAAATATTTGCCTTTTGTACAAGTACTCATCATTGCCACGCGAAGACGGCGTTTTGTAAAGTTGACTTTTCAGATAAGAGACGAGCTGTCTGAATACGATGCATGTAGTCTTGCCGGTCCCTTTATATCATATGAAGAGGATAAAAATCAACAATTTCGCTTGTTATTAGCTGAAACTAGATTATTACTAACCCGATCGACCATAAACGATGGCCGACGTAGGATCGCTAATTATCTCGTACTCGGTCTTGGACACTAGAAAAGCGAAGTCAGAGCCACTCTGGATGAGCGACCTGAACAAATCCTGCGAGAAAAATGGTTTACTTAGGAATTTGTTCGTCGAATGTTAATACGACGATCCTTCGTGCATACTTTACCTTAGATATAGGTATAAATTTATTTGTAACAAACATTTTATGGACTTCTAATAGTCTATCATTATCCAACTCGTTGTTGGTGAACCTCGTTCCCTTATCTTTAAAATAATCCGGTAAAACGACATGGTCTTTGCTCATCCTTAGGATTGAGCACCGACGAATATATTCGGAAGTGTAGATCTTATGAACTCTTTTAAGGGCTTTTAATGTTGTATCAAATTTTTCTTGACTTGAAGTGATAGTCCAAACCTTTACATGTTGCATATACAAATATTTATGGATAGAGAACCCATAGTCAACTTGCCAGAGGATTTTCAGATTGTTATCAGGGAACTCCACTTTGTAAACGGGAACATCGTAAGATGACGCTTCATGTTGGAGACCATACTTTTTCCACGCCCCGGATGATAACTGCCTAAGTTTTTTCATGACCATTTCAATGGTGAGAGGTAATTCTAATTGCATATCTTTGAAGTCTTCATTATACAGAATTTCCCGTAAGTCATTGATCGTGCTTTCGCTGAGCAGAATTTCCCACGGTCCAAGTCTGTCCTTATCATTGAATTCGAATGGAAGTTGAAAATGACGTCCCCGTATTTCACTTTCGACATTTGCTTGCTCCATTTGAAATGAAAATTCAAATTTTTTTTTTTTAAAAAAATCCTAAAGAACCAGTAATAATAAATTTGTGATAAGACTAATTTTAGAATTTTTTTTTTTTTTTTTATTATTACTGTTTTTTGAATTTCATTAGAATTTCATTATTTATTTCAGCTTTTTCTTGGCTTGGGTTAATTGTAAAGCAACCGAAAAAGAGACGATCAACAATTTCCGGAAAAACTAAAATTGTTATAAATAGAATATATGTTTGCCGCAGCATTAGTTTAGTGAGTGAGTTACATTTTTGTCAGGAATTAATTATTTTGAAGGATGCATTGACATTAATTTTCCGAGTTTGTAATTGGGATAGCCTTTTTTACGATCAAATAAATGATGCGCTAATTGTTTTCTGGCGTTTGAAGCTTATCTAACATTATTAATTTTAACTTCTCTTTATAAATTTAAGTGAAATCGATCATTTTTAATTTGTCATAACATAATTATGTAAACGATTCTGGAAAAAATAAAAATAAAAATAAAAAAAAAATTATATTACAAATCACGTGACAACAAAGAAAGTTCATATTTTCAAATAAATCGAATTGTTCATTATTATTTAAATAAAAATCTTTCTTTTCACTTTACATATTGATATCTTCAAAAGTTAAGTGCACTCCAAATAAGGATCTGTACGAATGAAAATAAATAGATCAACCGCAACTGTGCCTCAATTAAAGAAATTTAACGAGATCCCGAGTTTTGGAAAAGGGAAGGCAATGTTCAATTACTGTGCTCATGTGAAATTTACTGATATTATTTGCAAATACATGAATCAAAATAATCAAATAGATGCTTAAAATATTAAAATCGATTTGATGATTTTTTTAAAACTTCATTCAAAGATTTGAAATCTTACTAAAGTTAAAAATCTTTATTAAATAATTAATAAAAAATATACCAACTTTAATAGAAAATAAAAATATTTTTATATTATATTAAATTGATGTATAGATATATACACATATATATCTTACAGTCCAGGATGTCTTTAATTGGGAATTTTTGAAAAATTCTCCTTCTTTACACTCTCTTTCTCCTTGCGAAATCCATTGACTATTTTTTGGTTGAAATCGGAAATCGTCCAGAGAAAACATTATATCAATAGATCGTCCTTAAGGTTCATACATATCCATTCTAAAAACCTTTTCACGTGTGACACGAGAAAGGATTTTAAAATCTTACATCATCTCACTTATAATTAAGCCTCTTCAGAACGTCAGGTGGGTCGTAAACGTTAATTATCCATCTACTTCCTTTCTGAAACTATGAAGGAAATACTTGTCTTTTAAAGGAAAAAAATAAACTGAGATCATTAAGATTCTAGGAGTTTTCGGTGTTGTAAACACGACCTTGTTAGCACGCGGGATTGACCTATTTACGCCGAAGCGTCGCAATAAGTAAGTAAAAAAACTCAATAAAACTTACCCTAGGTTTCAAAATCCAGATTTTTTTTTCGTATTTAGATCCCATGAATGCAAAAGGACCATTTGTCATTGAATTTTAAAACTCAAAATCATTAATGTGTAATTTAAAAATAAGCAATATATATAATTTGCATGGAAACCCATTACAAGTACAACAAACCTTGACAAGAAGAACGACTTTGGGAAAGCGCGTTCATAAATTCAGCAACGAAATAAAAGTTTGGAAGCCGAAATACCTTATAAAGTGAAAAATAAGAATAAAACCTTTAGATTTTAAAAATCAAAGTATTATATAACGAATAGGAATTTCATGTAAGGGGAGTTAGGAGTCAGTTCTTAAGAGTCAATGTATTAAAGGGACGACCTATTTGAAGAAAGGGATAATACTTGTCTATAGAAGTGAACATCCCGGGGACGACGAGCAAGCAATATTTATATTTCACATGGAAACCCACGATAACAATACCTTGTCAAAATCACGAACACTTTTTGAGAAAAATTTTAACAACGTAAAATTTTAATAAAGAAAGTTTGATTGTTGACGAGAAAAAAATTAAAACGATATAAATAATAGATTACGCATACTTATTTCTAAATTTAGCAAGTACTAAACATTAGCCACACCCGATCCGATCCTTTTTAATCTTTCGATATTGGGCTTTAAATGGCAAAAGAAAAACTATTGACAGCAATGACATTCAATTCAATTGTTTAAAAAAAAAAAAATCATTTTGATCTTGAATATCGACGTTTTTTTTTACCTAATACGATACGATTGACACGATTCAAAATCAACGTAATCTGTGTCTGGTGGCTTAATGTTGAACAACCTTACATAATCAACGTTACATAACCATTTATTGTTAATTTAAAAGGAAATGACTTGTTCAACAATAAATATTACTTTGAATAATTAAAAGACGAAGAAAATTCTATTTAAATATTTATTTGCTAGTTAATGTTAAATGACAGTTGTAATTTTATGGTGACAAAATTTGTTTTCGACATATAGCCTTCAAAAGAACTTTGATTATAAACGGAGAATAAGAAAGGGAACTCTCAATTTTATTACACCAACTTCAAAACTGAAGAGGTATGTATATATTGAATTTTTTATAATTTGTTCTTTTTGAGAAAAAAAAATTTTTCATAACGAGGAAAGTAAAGATTAAACAGCTTTTATTCTATAAGATTTTTAAACGATGTCACGAAGAACAAGTTCATGCTCGAGGAATATACGTGCTGTTGTCGCGCCAAGACGACCTTCTTCGGCATTTCCTTATTACTATCTACCCCTTCTGCAGCTGTACCTTCTACTCTTCTACAATTATTTTATCTATTACTTATTCAAAATTATCATTACTTTGAATTATCTAAAGTATTTGATAAACTACAATAATCGTGGAAAGCTTGCTAAAGCACCACAAAATAAAACAGGAATTATGATTATTGATGATTTCGAATATTAGTTCAAGAAATTATGTCAAGCATTCAAAGAACTATTCGATTAATCACTATTCCACTTTCCTTGTTTCTTCTTCAATATTCCTCCATTGTCTTAACCTACCCATCCTTCTTTCTCTTCATATTTCTTCATCTCCTTTATTTTATCCTTTTACCCACTGCCGCCATAGGTCCTTTTTATCCATTACCGTCTTCTTAGGTGGCCATCTAGATCCACCTTGCATTTTTATTGAAACCCTTATATCCCTAGTCCATGGCCAGAGCCAATGGATCTTTACATCATGTAGTTAAATCTAGTTAATTAAATTAAAAAAGTTGCTAAATATCATCAAAAAAATTTAATAAAAATATTGTAACACATATAACAACTGGGCGTCATTGAATATTGAATACGTGAATATAAAGTACCTTCGCCGCACATCAACCTAATCTATCTACTATTTCAGGTAAATAACACTATTCATAAGTAAATTATATATGATCAAGTTAAAAAATTTGCCGAATAATTACAATATTGGATTTTCGGTTCGATTAACAAATATCTCTTGTATTTATTGAGCAGACGGTTATATAGATTTGTTCTATTGGTGAAATTTTACTAATAATCCACTATACTATATTGAGATTTTAACTGAGAAAGCGAAAAAAAGTATTATAGTCCTCATACGACATGCTTACTGTCCATTTTTTTTTTTTTTTTTTTTTTTTTTTTTTTGAAGAAGAATATAAGAACTTAGACCTTGCCATGTACTTCAATTATAGATGAGGGACGAAGCCCTTAATAACAGTCGAAACTTAGACGAAACTATATTAAAATCATAATAAGGGATAGGACGAAACCCTTTCGATACGACGAAAGCCGAAACTGTCGAAATTATATTAAAAACATAGAAAAGTGTATGACGAAATTATTTTGAGGAGGTTTCGGTAGGCATCTATAACTTCAATTCACCAAGTAGTTCTTTATTATGTTTGGATGTAAATTTATATAATGATATTGGTTAGGAAAATTCAATTACGATATTGATTTTGATTCATGGCACTTAAGTTGACATAATACTGATAATGCAGGAATAGTTTTGCATCAAGTTCTTATGTGATTATAAAAAAAAAAAAAAAAAAAAGGTATCAAGGCGAGACATTGTTGAGAAAAATGAAAAATTAATTTTCCTAATAATTCATTCATTGATCCAATTAATTGAAACGAAAACGTTTCCACAGACTCAAAATCGGCGGGCGAGATAAGTCTTGCTTAAGGTACTTAATTTCCTCGAAACAATCTTGATCGATTAATTGGCTAATTATGCATTGGCATGATCGATCAAAATTCGAATTTATTTAATTAATGATTTCTTAATCGATTTATTTGATCTTTCAGTTCGAATAAATAATTTATATGCCTTCTGATCGATCAATGATCGATCTATTACTTAATATTACATCTCTTTCATATCAAAATGTTTTCATATTATTAGGTCCAAAGGTTATGTTGTGGTTCAAGTGATTTTCCTTGTTAACTATTATCTGAGAATGAACTATTAATAATATTTTTTTTTTTTAGTTGAAGTGTTGAAATTTTTTCTGTTATTGTTCAGAACATTTAAAAATATCATCGCAAAAGCGATTTATTTTTCATATTAAATTGATGTATTGAAATTCAACTTATTTAGGAAATTCGCACAAATTAAAGCAAAAAAAATAAATATTTTTTAAGGTTTCCAAAATGAAAATGATATTTAACATTTAACCAATTTTGATCGATCAAATAGCGGCATTGATTATAAATTAATTGACCAGTTCAATCGATCATACACTAGTCTTGCGGCGCAGTAAACAATTAACATCACGACAATAATGAAAGCAAGCAAAAATATATATATATATATATACAATTTATCAGCTAAATCTTGATCTACTATTAACATTGTGTATCTAATTGACAAAAAAAAAAAAAAAATTGGTCATAATGTTGAACATGAATCGATCATATATATTAAAGTGCTTGCTTTATAGTTGATTGTTTTTTCATAGAAATTTGCTGCGCCACGACTAATTTGCCGCATACTAAATTAAATA